GAAGTTGAAGGCGTCCGTCTGGGTAGACTTCGGCTCCTTCTGTTCCGCCCTCTCTGCGACCTCTAGTCGCTTCCTAAGCCGCTCGTGGTCGTCCTTTGCCTCGTTCACGTTTGCACGGAGCTGTCGCAAGGCCTGCTTTAGGTCCTTCGCGATGTTGCTCTTCGTGCTCGTGAACTCTATGATGGCGTCGAGCTGTCCCGCGATTGCGCGCAACCTAGGGAGGGGCCCAAAGCTATTCATGGTTCTGATTAGCCCGGGCCAGTCCTTCGGCTGCTCCTCCGGCTGTCCACCGATCTCGGCCGTTGTCTCTGCGTCGCGCGGAGATTTCGGCCGTTTGTTCGGCTCACTGTGTTGGGGAGATCTGGATAGACCACCCTTCGCGAACGGATTCGCGGTCGCCTCCTCGGCGACTTGTTCACTGGGGGGTTTGGGGTTTTGTGCTTTTTTGATGACTTTTTGAAATCATCCCGACTGTTGGGTCCCCCTTAGACCGCTATCCTACCGTGCAAATGGAATAGTCGCTGATTGATCCCCATGGGTGGCTATGCGAGCAGTGAGGTCCATGACGAGGGTTGACATAGGCCTTCATGGGGCGTTATGTTCAGAGCCGGATCGCGTAAGACGGGAATAACTCAACCGAACCTATTCCCACCACACAGCCCCAACTGGGTGGCACGGGAGGAACGTATTCTAAGGCCTGCCAGGGTTTTAGCATTAGCTCAAACGTCGTTTCGGTCGGTTCCACCCGACTCTACTAAGAGGATGAAATACCTTGAGCGCCAGCCCGTAGCGTGGTTTATGATAAGTTTCCACTCTGTATCCTACATAATGCCAGTGTGTCAGTATACATACTTGCGATCTTACTGACATCGATCGCAAGGCGCGTCCCCTCGTTTGTTGTTCGATTAGCCGACTGGATCAGTACCGCAGCACTGGTGGTCCATCGTTTCCAGGGTGCACCACGAGGAGGCGAACAACTTCACATCACTTGTATGTGTGACAGTACCGTATCGTACATGCAATATAACAATTAAATCATATGTTTGAATTGTGTGAGTAGCACTACTGTGAGATACAACTAATGCCACTACCACAATCACAAATGTCCGGTATACGAATCGTGTAAATAGAAACGTGAATAAACATTCATGGAAAGCGGTGCCAGTGGTGTAGCGATAAGCGTGATTATATCTCACCCCAGCAGGCCTGGGTTCAATGCAAGTCGGCGCCAGTGGGATGTTCTGAAGCGTAGCATCTCTGATCACGCCTTTGGTCCTTGGTTCATGAGTTCTGATGGGACGATAAGTAGGGTTCCAGGTGTAGGAGCTGCCTCCCTGGCGTCGGTAGCATTGAGGCTTAGCACGGAAAACAAGATCGACGGAAAACAAATCAAGGAAAAAAAACAATCATTGAATCAGTGGCGTCGCGTCCACATGTGCAACCTGTGCACAACACAGGTGTAAATAATTTTAAAAAATGCGTTTAGATTTTTATAGATTTTAATGGACACATTATAGCTGTACTTCTTTACTCCAGACCACAATTGACCATGAATACACTATTTTATAGTGTGGTTCAATTAAATCTTCGACCTTGGTTTGCTTCAAAAAGGGTTAAATTCAGTTCGGATGGTCTGCCTAATCCCTAATGCATTGATTTCTAAGCGGGTGGAGGGTGACAAGTTTGTGAATGGTCAAATGCCTGATGTAAGCCAAGCAGACCTTCTATCACCTCTTGAAACATACCACAAATTTTCCACAATTCATGGCGGTTTGCGTGGTTGTAATTGAAGCTTTCAGCAGTTACGCTTTAAATGGGAGCAACACGGACACAGCAGTTTGATACGCTTTGGACGTTATCATACTTGCAGACCGGTTTGAATGTGTGAGTTTTAATTAGAAGAACATTTCAAGCTGAACATTAGGTCCTAAGTAACATTGATCGATCCTCTTCGTCGACTTTCTCTTTCGTTAATAACTTGACCACATAACCGTTTCTTGTCGTGTTTGTCGTATCAGAAGCTAGGTAAAAGCTTCTTGTATCGATTTGTGTGCTGAAAATACCTAGGAATGTCTTTACATGGCCGTGAGAATACAAAGAGAAAGTCGATGAAGAGAATCTGTCAATGTCAATGTAACAATGTAATGGAGAATATGTCCCTTGAATTCATGGAGCATTGAAAGATAAAACAAAAACTAATATCCGGAGAACTTCGAGATTAGGGCGTAATTTCTTTTGTAAACAAACACGTCATTTGCTGATTTCTCGCGAATCAAAGCTAAATCTATACCGTTCCGATTCAAATTTCGGACGATTCAAATTTCGGACACTTTCATTTTTAATTAAATATTACATCCAGTTAGAAACAAAGTAATAATGTAAGATGATCGTGGAGGGCACTAGTCAAAAAAATTTAAAATTTACAAGACATGTGGATCATATTCGACCGAGATAATCAACTTTTAAAAGTGTCCGAAATTCGAGTTTAAGTGTGCGAAATTTGAATCGGCACGGTAAAACTAACAACACAAACAGATAGAGGAATGATTCCTTTATCATTTGTTATAGTTTTTTTTTTTTAGAGATTGTGTTTTTATTCGCGAGAAATCAGTTATGGACCTGTTTGTTTACAAAAGCAATTACGCCCAAATCTCAAAGTTCTCCCGATATGTGGTTGTATACTAATAACGAACAAAGCTTGGTGCACAGAAAAACAAATGAGGCACGTGACGCCTCTGCATTGAATATTACTGTCTTTTACAAAAAAAAACATAATTAATTCTATCTTTTTTACGTTACATTCAACAAAAAAGTTGTGCAAAGAAGACTTTAAGATCTAGTCAAAACCTACAATTTTGATAAACACAGTATGCTGTTATGTTTGAGTACAGGTAATTTTCAAGTTTTTTTTAGGGAATTTTTAAAATTGATTTATTCAAATTTAAAGAAAGTTGCCCTCGCAGTTTTTTCCTCAAATATTTATTTAAGTATGGCTTTTGAGATGATACCACAAGAAACATTTTAGCGATCCAACTCCATGTGATATAAGCATTTCAACACGACTTGGTTTTTTGGGCAAAAAAGTCTATAATTTTTCAACGTTAAGACTTATTAACATGCTTCAGTTCAGTAAAAACGTGCGCCAATATTTGTTCTAGAAGTTTTTCAAAGATCATTTTCTAAAAGAAAATGGTTCAAAAAAGATAGAATAAAAACCTCGAGCTTCTTTGGAGTTTGTCACAGATCTTACTTCAAAAAAACTCCATGAAATTCTTGGAGGTTTTGGGAACATCGTTAAATTTCAAGGAATGACGTTCAAGAATATTTGTAGATGATAGGTGTCTTTCCAGAAGTGCAAAGATGTTCAGAGATCTTCGTAGAATTAAGAGAGATGGAATAAATATAGAAATTGATAGTGATAGTGATGAAACGTCGCTAGAACTATTCCACAGCCGCAGTCAGTAATGAGCAAAAGGAGGACATACTTCAAGTCTCCGCCTACATCGTACGGGTTAGGCAAAAGATGTGCGTTTGACTTTATACCTTCGCATTAATGGCCCTTCGCTCATTTTCAACTTCTATTCAATTTTCATCCTGCCATACTCTAACGGAACTATCCACCTACCCTCTTCTAAAGATCATTCTCTAGCTAATAAATTATCACACTAAAGCTTCGTGTTAGCATTTCCAACCAACTCATAGAAATTTAAATAAATTCAGAGAACCTCGTAGAACTATGGAAAAGTTTGTAAATCTTAAGAGAGTTTTATAGATGTTCAGGAAACGTTTCATAAGCTACAGGATTTAAAACTATAACAATTGATCTAACTTCGTTAACTTTTATTTACATTTGTATTCGAAGAATTTACGCTTACAATCTGTATCAGATATACCTATTTTTTTAGTTTCAAAATCTTGAACACATATGGGTATGGGATCTCAAAACTATATTTATTTTATAACATTCAGAGTGTTTAGAATTGTGCATGGACATACATCTTGCACATTTTCCTAAGTCCAATGTATGGTATTTATTCTGCGAGCATTTTACTATGTTTCAAAGCCAGCATTTTAGAAAATCATAAAATTCAAACTTCTAGAATTTAGTGTTGGTTCCTATGTCTGAGATTTAACTGATGATGAAATATTCAAAATGTAAAAAAAAATCTAGTTACAAAATTCATGGAATTGCCTAACTCTGAGAATTTTCTTAAGTATGAGATGCTTAAATTTATGAGATCCGGACGCTTTTTGATTTCATTACAAAAAGCATGAACAAACGATCCTTGCTTGTTCAAAATCAGTAAGCTTTTAAGGCTCCCACAATCGAGGTTCCAATTATGAAATTAATGAAATAAAATGTTTGCCCCCCCCTCCCTAGGCCCAATCCAGATTAATTATCTAGCTACGCCAATGAGAGAAAGTGTAGATATAGGCACTACTTACAAACATCAGCACTCTAGAAACGCATCATAGAAATTCTAGCACCAAATATTTACTTAAAATGCAAATTACACATCTAGGATCTTGCTTTGTTTTTCCTCTCCTTAATACTTAATTATTCTAAAACTTAACCATGCCTTAAAACACGTATGAAATAATATACACTCACGGGAGAAGCTAATTCGGCACACAAAGCTGTTCGGGGATCATTTTGTTTTTCGCAGAACAAAATTTTCCGGAATAATCTGATTTTTTTTTTCACTCTGTCCTACCTAAGTTTTGATAATTTTGGCTAAGAACGGAATCTTCTTGGCTTCCGGGATATTGTTTTTTGTTTCGACGTACCCACCGTGCCTGATATTCGAGATATTGTTACATTCGGGTTAGTTTTATTCATGCTAAAGCTATAGAAGTCTGGATATTTTCTAACAAGAAAATACTTCCTTCGTAGAACATTTCCGGCGGTTTTCCGGAGAACGTATGCTAAATGCGACAACCCCCACACATCTGTTGAACGTACAACCCAACTCAACCCAACAGACGATCGAACCTCTAAGCTAGAAAAACTCCCCGCTCGCTTTGTATACACGCGGACAGTACTGTTCCGCTAGCACCCCGTAGGCAACCCGGGAGCCAACTCGTACCTTGGTATCCCTGCTAAACTTGTTCCACACATGCGTCACGATGGATCGGTTGAGGGTGGCGAGCGCTTGGTCCACCCAGCGTTCCTCGAAGAACTGCAGATAGTCGTCGAAGTTTATGGCATAGAAGGCTTCCGGTGGGTACACGGTGAAGTAGCGGCAGCGCTCGCGTGTCATCATCAGCGGTGCCTTGGTGCTGCATATTCGCTTCAGCACCCGGGTGATTACGCCCGGTCCATTGTTGCCCCAGTCCTGGCCGTTGAAGTTGATCAATAGGTCCCTGACGCACATCGCCGCCAGCTCGTGCCCGTGTCCGTCGGATTCAAAGTTGATGACTCCGGCTGCCACCCAGCGGGACGATTCCGCCCCGGCATAGTTCGGTTCCATTGTATCGAACGACTTCAGCACCACTACGTCCAAGTCCAGATAGGTTCCGCCGTACTTGTACAGCGTCAGATATCGCATAACGTCCGACAGGTGGGAATTCATGTACTTGGAGCGGAAAATTTCTCCAGTGTGCATCCAATCTTCCAGCGGCGTATCCTGAGCGTAGGTCGAGAGGTTCACGTGCCGCAGATTGATGTTGGGATACGCGTGCAGAACGTCCAGCAGTGGAAGCGCACTCTTATTACGGAATCCCACCGGGGCTGCGAACAGCACGAACGCATTCCAGTTGGGGTTCATCCGTGCGGCCGATTCGATGGCACACGCTTGGCGAGCATTCAGCCTAATTATCCCATCTGCAGAGCAGGACGTTTCATGGAAGAAGATGTTCTTCCCGTGTTGAGGTTGTTTGTGTGACTTCTGCACATCTTCCAGTACCCGGAACGGGTCGGGGAATTCTCGGGCAAAGCAGTTCTCGTGTAATGGCTGGTAGTTGATTGAGAACAAGACGTACACCATAGCCAGCACCAGGCCAACCGAGAGGAACACTTTCCGTTTGTTTTTACCACTAACATAGAATGGAGTGATGGAGACCATCTTTGTCGAGGTTCACTTAAGGACTAATAAGTATAACGATTCGCAAGGGTGACAATATAGATGATAAGATAATGATCAGCAGTTAACAACTACCGAACTGGACTGAAAATTGATGAAAGATTTAGGAGACAGCCGGAGCCGTACGCTCAGGTACTAATACTGATGAATTACGACGACGGTGGTTCCGTTATCGCGCTTATTGCCGATTAACACATTCATGATCGCAGAGAATTTCGAGAACGCAGATTATTGCACGGAGAGCACTGGTAAAACTGATAATAATTATTATACTGCTGCAAAAAACACTCGATGATAAAACCGACAAAACACGGGAGTGATTGTCAACACAATAAAATAAATAAACTTGAATAAGTAAGAAGGGTCTGATCACACCATAGGTGGATAAATTCGGGTTTTTTTAATTAATCTACTATTATATCAAATATTAAAAATCCATCATCACCATCGAGGCAAAAAGAAATAGTTTTTGCAGTGCTACAATGATTATTAAAAAGTCGGAATGACAGCTATCCATATAAAATAATCCGTTAGAGATAACTTCGTCAAGATACATAATTTATCAATTCATAAAAAAATCACTGGATAACTGTTCAAAAGACAGTTTTAACGTGTGAAATGCAGTGTCGATAAAATTCTGTAAGTGTTGCTAAACGTTTGATATGTCTAGGCATCGAATTGAAAACATTTATTCCTTTATAATATAATCAATTTTGTGAAGCACAAGTCAAGAAATTTGGTGTTCTTATTTCAACCGCGTTTCTAGTATTATATCTATGAAAGTCACTTCCTCTTTCAATTCGATTACACAAATATCGAGGCAGCAAACCGTTAACTACTTTAAAAATGAACACCATAGTCAAATATGCAATTCTTTGCTTCACCGACAACCATTGTAAGGCGCCTAGCATCAAAGTTGAGGAAGTGAATCTATTACATCTCAAAATCAAACGCATTATTTTATTCTGCAAGCGCTGTAATCTCGATATTTGTGTTCCATTGGCCAGAAATAAAATGGAAGGGCAAAAAGTCAAGATGAGGAGAGATGATTGATTTGTATAGCTGTATTTTACTGGCAATAGTTAAATCGTTTTTCAGTCGACATAGAATTCCATACTTCTTGGCAATTTTCTTGATGACATTGTCAATGTGAGAGTTGAACTTAAGTGTATCATCAATAATCACGCCAAGATATTTCATCTCCCGAACGCGATCAATAGTCCAATCATCAATTACAACAGAGACGTTCTCATTTACTCGATTCCGCAAAATTACAATAAATTTAGTTTTACTTGTATTCATTATTAACTGCTTATACTTGAACCATCTACTAAGAGAACGCAAATCTTCATTCAAGTGTAAAACGGCATCATCTAAATCCTTAGCTGCAATGAATAACACAGTATCATCTGCAGAAAGATTAATGTCGCAAAATCGTAAAACACGTCACAAGTCATTAATATACATAATAAATAACAGGGGCCCTAATACACTTCCCTGGGGCACTCCAAGGTTATTCCCCTCGGGACTGCAAACAGAATCATTAAAAACAGTCCGTTGAGTTCTGTCAGACAAATAGCTTTCAAACCATTTATGTGCAGTACTCATAATTCCAAAACGCTTGATTGATCTTAACAATAAGGGTATAGAAATTGTTTCAAAAGCGCGTTTAAGATCCCAAAAACAGAAACAATCGTATCTTTACGCTCCAAGTTGTCTTTCCACTTTGCTAACAAAGAGTTGCTATTCAAATACTCCAACAGCTGGCCTTTAACAACAAGTTCTAATATTTTCTCTAATGTGTGCAACATGTTGATGGGACGAAACTCTTCGGCTTTAACCGTTCCAGCAACTTTTTGAATAGGAACCACTAAGCATGTTTAAATCTAACTCCATGTTTGATGCTATTCAACTGGAGTAAAATTTGCAAACAATACTGTCATGACTTTGAAATTCAGTAATGGAGTTTAAAGCATTAAATATTTTAAATTGGAATGCTCGATCTCTTAAATATAATGAAGACGTGCTACTTAACTTTTTGAGAGTTCATAACGTGCATATTGCCGTTATAACTGAAACGTTCCTTAAACCTGCCCATAAGGTTAAGAAGGACGCAAATTATTTCATTTATAGAAATAATCGCCTTGATGGACCCTGTGGTGGCGTTGCCATCATTGTTAATAGACGATTCAAACATAAAATTCTTTCTTCAGTTGAAACCAAAGTGTTGGAAACTTTGGGAGTTTCTGTTGAAACAAAATTTGGACAACTCACGCTTATAGCTGCCTATTTGCCATTCCAATGCGTAGGCCAGCAAAAGAATTTTCTCAAGGGTGACCTTCCGAAACTTACCCGTCATACGTCTAAATTCTTCATTATTGGTGATTTTAATGCAAAACACCGCTCATAAAATAATTCTCAAAGCAATTCCAATGGTAATATTCTGTTTGATGATTGTTCTGCAGGTTATCACACTATTCAATATCCAAACAGCCCAACATGCTTTTCTTCTGCAAGAAATCCCTCAACTATTGATTTGGTCTTAACTGATTCATGTCGGCTTTGTAGCCAATAGGTTACTTATGCTGACTTCGGTTCTGATCACCTTCCAGTAACTTTTGAAATATCCCAAGAAATAATTTCTAATCCCAACAGCTCTACTTTCAGTTACCATAGAGCTGCCTCAGTACCAAAATGCGAGGTTAAATTCGATTCAATTATAATAGACGACGATCTTCAGCTCTTGATCCGTCTTAAAAATGTCCGTAGGAGACAATATCAAAGAACACGCGATCCTGCCATGAAAGTTATCTGGCGGGATTTGCAAAAACAAATTAAAATGCGATTCTCTGCCTTGAGGAACAAAACTTTTGAAAATAATGTTACTGAATTAGACCCGAGTTCCAAACCCTTTTGGAAACTCACAAAATTTTTGAAAAAACCTCTAAAGCCTATTCCATCGCGTAAAGAAGGTGGTAAAATTTTGATCACAAATTTGGACAAAGCACAGAAACTTGCTAAGCAATTCGAGAGTTCCCAAAATTTCAGTTTGGGTCTTACTAGTCCTATTGAGAATCAGGTTGCTCGGGATTATCTGAATATTTTCTCTCGGGAAAATATTTTTGATGACTCCTGGGGGACTGATTTGGACGAAGTAAGGTCTATAACTAAAAAGTATCATAATATGAAAGCTCAGGGTGATGATGGAATTTTCTATATCCTCATCAAAAAACTCCCAGAGAGTACCTTGTCTTTCTTGGTAAAATTATTTAACAGATGTTTCCATTTGGCATACTTTCCTGATAAATGGAAAAATGCAAAAGCTGTTCCAATTTTGAAGCCGGATAAAAATCCAGCTGAAGCTTCCAGCTACCGTCCAATAAGTTTGCTTTCTTCAATAAGTAAACTTTTTGAAAAGATAATTTTAAATAGAATGATGCTTCACATCAATACGAACTCAATTTTTGCAGATGAGCAGTTTGGATTTCGCCATGGGCATTCAACTACTCATCAACTCTTAAGAGTTACCAATTTAATTCGTTCAAACAAATCTGAATGCCACTCAACTGGAGTTGCTCTTCTAGACATAGAAAAAGCATTCGACAGTGTTTGGCATGAAGGTTTAATTGCTAAATTGAAAAAGTTTAATTTTCCACTTTACATTATGAAATTGGTTCAGAATTATTTAACTGACAGAACTATGCAGGTAAATAACCAAAATTCCAAATCCAATCGACTACCTGTAAGTGCAGGAGTTCCTCAGGGTAGCATTCTTGGGCCTATATTGTATAACATTTTCACTTCGGACCTCCCTGATTTGCCTCAGGGTTGCCACAAATCTTTGTTCGCTGATGACACAGGCATTCCCGCTAAAGGAAGAAGACTTCGTGTTATTTGCAGCAGACTGCAGAAAAGTTTAGATATTTCATCTTCTTATTTACAAAAATGGAAGATTTCTCCCAACGCTTCCAACACTCAACTTATAATATTTCCACATAAGCCTAGAGCTTGCTTTTTGAAACCTAGTAGTAGTCACATAGTCACTATGAACGGAGTTTCAATTTCCTGGTCAAACCAAGTGAAATATTTTGGTTTAATACTTGACCAAAAATTAACTTTTAAAGAACACATTGAGGGCATTCAAGCCAAATGTAACAAATATATTAAATGTTTGTATCCTCTTATAAACAGGAAATCTAAACTTTGCCTGGCGAATAAACTTCTAATATTAAAACAAGTTTTTAGACCGGCCATGCTTTACGCTGTGCCAATTTGGTCTAGTTGTTGCACGACCAGGAAAAAAGCACCTCAAAAGATTCAGAACAAAGTTCTGAAGATGATTTTGAAGTTGCCTCCCTGGTACAGAACTACCAAAGTACATAGAATTTCTAATGCTGAGACTTTAGAACAAATGTCCAACAAAATAATTAATAATTGCAGGCAAAAATCGTTGCATTCCTCAATTGCAACGATTAATTCTCTTTATACTTAGATAAGATTTAGTTTTAGTTTTTAGTTTTAAGATATCAATTGTTATACTGACATGCAGGTTCAAAAAACCTGTTTAAAATACTTAATTGCCAAGACAGGAACAATGTAAAAATACTTAGATATATATCATATCAATTAAGGTAAGTTACTGTAGTAACTGGAGCACCTAGGTTAAAATGAAATGTAATTTATTTTGAATTTGAAACAAATAAAGAGTTAAAAAAAATGTTTACTATGGTTCTAAAACTCAATATCGAGTTAGCGGACATCGAGTTGTGGAGAGTTGACTTTAGTTTTATACTTGATTTTTTTTTATGTTACTCATGAGTTTAGATAGCTCTTTCAGAGTCTTCAGATAATGTTTGGATGGTTTTACCGATTTACCACAAATTTGTCGATTCTAGTCATTTTATCTTTTGGAGTATCATGGATTTTTAAGATCATTTTGGCCTAATAACATCTCCATATAATATGAGTGGGTCACGAGCTTA